GAAGCTACGTGTTTCTGCAGCATCAAGCTTAAAACATTGGAAACTCACATCTTTAGACATCTAAGGACCTAAGTAGATTTTCAACGAATTGAAGGTGGTCTGTCTAAGATCTCTCTTCAGGGTTTTTTCCGGCTTCAAAAACCAATCAAAGTACGCTGATCATTATCAATCAACTAAACATACCATACAAATTCTGCGGGTTTTATGTTTTTCTTTTATCATATACCATATGACATACATGCTCCTGAAGTACGAACTTACTGCTTACTTTGTCTCTAGAAGCCGCTAAGGTTAAACATGTTTTCAATAACTTGTCTGTTTTCGTTAAAAGCACACACTTCATATTCAACAAACATGAATCCGTGAGGCTTTTTCATATTTCCCAAAATAAAGAGAATTTAAAAAGACCGTCGCTGGTATAAGAGCATAATATCGCATCTGGACTTTTTTGAAAACGACATCAGCCATCACATTTTTTTCGAATATTTTGGGTATGGAACACTTGCCAGCGTATACTTGGCCCAATAAGGCTGATCAAAGCTAGAAAAGTACATTGGATCGTGATGATTTGGATACTACAATTTCAACGCCGTTTGCGGGAAGCAATCCAAAAAATATTTTTGGAAGCAATTCATGGATTTCGGACGACTTCGGCACACTTCGATGCTCGTTAGTGAATTCAGAGTCAAAAGCGATATTGTAAAGATTTCGCAGCAACCATATTCACTAGACTTGGCTCCGTGTGGCTTTTGCCCATTTCCAAAAAACAAAAAGGGAACCTTAAAGGACCGCTATATTACAAGATCCCTGAAAGAGCTTACGGAAAACCAAAATAATTTTATTTTTAAAAAATTCCAGTTGGTTTTTAAGCACTTATCATAAGCTGTCAACGATTCTTCTTTAAAGTGATGTAGCCGCTATCTTCATTGCTATCAAGTTTCTTTTTGTAATTTGAACTCTTAAAGCATAAAAGGAATTATAATTGTTTATTTTGTTTATATAATATAAATAAGTTTTTTTACAAAGAAAAAAGTTTCTCTTCAACAGCGCATGAGTTAGAGAATATATGTAGTATAGTTTTTTCGATTTACTACTATGCAAACTGCGTATTTATTAAATGAATTTATAAATAAATGAAAACAAATGATGCATATATCAGTATTAAGATAAATAAGATTCACAACTTTGTTCACATTTTACATTATTACATTTACATTTCAAATTTTCTGCTTTTAAAAATTATTTAAATAATAATCTATTGCCTTACTTAATTTCATTACAGCAACAACTACTTACTATAATGAATATTCTGGTGAACTGTATAAACCAACAAATGCTTTTATTGAGCGAGTAGTCGCTTTTAATGAGATTACTTGTAAATAAACATCCGAGATAAGAACAAACAAATGCCATGCCGTCGATGCGTGCAGCTTGCTTTACAAAGGTATTGAGGCAGCCAGCGGGTAGCTTATTATTCGTTTTGATATTTATGTGCCATAAAACTGATTTCAGTTTAATTGAAACAGCTGCCGATGTGATAAGTAAGTAATGCAACTTTTATTCACTTATATATAAAACATATTTATTTAAGAAAATACGAAATGCTTAATTATTATAATATATATATTTAAAGGCTTGTTGATTAACAACATAAAATAAAATATTGATAGTTTTTGTACATACCCCACAGAAAATTGTCAGTGGAATCTTTAAAAAACGTATACCATGATTATTTTCTATTGAGTAAAATTGAGATTGAATAAGTCAGTATATGTCTTTGTGATAAAATTGGGTATTAAATAGTCACAAACGCYAATACTTAGAGTATAGCTGCATCAAAACCAGTATGCTTTTTTACAACTAGTTTTCTCTTGTAGACCATCGGGTTAGCATTTAGTCTCTTCATTGAAATTGGAGAAACAAAAAGGAATATTTCGTTAGTGGATCGAACAGAGTTGAAGAACAAAGAAGCCATTTCTTACATGTTCCGTTCTGACTAATGGCGGGATCATGCTGTACTGGTCATGGTACTATAAAAATCTCACAGGATTCGTGGTTGTGGTTTAGAAGTATTCCAATGAAAATTACGAGCTTATGAGTTTAGAGTTATTGACTGTATAAACCAATTACATATGTAGATCCAACAGTCTTGAGAATGTGGGTTTATGGTAATATATAGCAGTGCCACTCCGTTAGAGKCCTTCTACAGTTCCTTATTGTCTTCGTGTCGTGGTAAAGCGAAAATAACCAAAAACCTGTAGATTAGAAGGAAAAATTAAAAAATAATTTACTCTAACTCTATTTTCTTAGAAACTTTAATATACTTGGGTCTTAGACGAACTTCTTGAATATTTAATATGGTTACTTATAATTCATTAACCTCGGAAGGCTAACTTTTTAAAGTGTGGAAGAATTCATAAGATGTGTACTTTTCTTGCTATTTTTGCGATGCTCAACCTACCGAACTATCATAACAGAGAGGTTTGAGATCTACTATTCGGTGGGCCTCTTTCTTAAAGGTTGCCCACCGGAAGCCAATATGGTAGAGCTCATGCAACAGTCATCAATTGGTAAGCTAGTTCAAATCTCCAAGCTTTTTAAACAGCAAAATCTCATCATAAAACCTCACGGACTCTGAAAAAGCCATTTTAATAATTGGGCGGGAAATGATAGAACTTTTTTCAAAATTATAAATTTATAAAAAAAGTTTTCTTTCTGTTAACCACTACTGTCACTATATCTTTTTTTACGCGGCAATCTTAAGCTTAAAGAGCGGAAGTTCACAATAAATCTAACAACAGAACTTGTATCAATATTTTAAAGCGCAGCGCTGAAATTTAAAAAAAAATAAGTATTCTCATAAAGAAAAACAACTCACTCACTACTTTTGTCGTCTCTAGAAGCTTATTTAGTTTATTGCTTTGCATGGACATTTTACCTTCCAGGTGACATTAATTCCGACACTCATATTGGGTAGTCGAAAAAGTCTTT